AGCTGCCTTCCCTCTAGTCTTTCTCTGCTAAATTAAGGACGGCTAGCGCAGATAGCCTTTGTGTAGCTTTGCGTGAACTTCCAAACAAACCAAACCAAGCCCGAGAGTTGGCGGTTGATGGTGTTGTCTAAGCTACCTTTCCTCTGGTCTATCGCTTCTAAATTAGAGACTGCTCTAGCCCTTGAACAGCTTTGTACGAAATTAAAACAAAACAAACAAACAAATTCTTACTAAGTTTTTTTGTGTAAGATGAAGTAAAACAATAAATCTTTTTATTTTTATCAAAATACGGATTGTTTAATTAGAACGTACTTAAGATCTTCAGAAAATAACCTTTGTATAGTATGTTTAAATAATATAAAATATTTGTGGGATGAGACTCTCCAGTTTCATAAACATTTAAGAATTTAACACATAAGTTTCAGGGTGTTGGATATTCAAGATTATAATACACTAATAAAATACTGATATACACAGTTGGGATATTTTTATATAATTAAATCATATATACAGTTTGTGCACGTTGATTTACCTTTCTTTGTAAGTTTGAATAAAATGGGTAAAGATAATAAAGACAAACACATTAACATTCAGAATAAATCGCATAATTCCAGGCCGAGAAGTACTGCCATTGTATAATCATCCATTACCTTGTGATTTATAGCATGCAAAGATCAACGTTCATTTGTTTTTGAGATTTATGAAAGTTCTCAAGTTCTGGTTATAAAAGCACATTCTTGTTTCTTACAGAGTTCATGACTATAGGCGAACAAGTTCTGGTTGCCACAGGTTACTTATCTGTGAATGAGCTCAGAAACGTTATTTATCTCTAGGTGAGTGATTTGAATTTGATGAGATAAAAAAAAATTATTAATGCCATTTTAATCGACTCTTAATCATACAAATTATTATAATTCCTCTGTTATTAATGAATTATATTCACTAAGGATTAATTACTGTTCCAAAGCACGTATCTAAAACAACAGACTGATAAAGGTAAAGACTTCTAAGGCGTTTCATTAATCTGAAAAAAACAAACAAAAACTTAATTTTTATTCTAAGTTTAAGCTTCGGTTTTATTTCGACGAAATTATACTGAAAAATAATAAAATGTTGTCAATAAAATCATTTGTTTTGTTGAGAAAAAAAAATACGATAACAACTTTTTAGTTCTGAGTTGAGTACGTTATATTGAAATGATTTTATAGCTTAACCTCGTCTTACAGTTTTTCTCCACTCGTTCGATCACGCCCTGTCTGACGACCTGACGACCATGCAGCTTGACAATAGCCCCGCAGCGTAGTTTTCATTGCAAAAGGCTCCGTCGCAAGGCTTTCTTTCATGGTCAAAGCACACCATTCCTCCCTTCAAGCTTTTCATAACTTATCTAGTGTACGAAGACAACCGTTTCCCAGTGCCCATTTCAACAGTCCGATAGCAAAGAGTTCCATAAACGCTGCGTACAGCGACTTGACCGGTATGTCTTCTCTGACGGTTGTGCATGCACATCGTGTACACATGACTTATGTCATGCGGAGATATATATTGATTATTTTGCTACTGTTGCCTATGAAATGTAGACTGCTTTTGCCACTGACCTTAGTGTCTGAGTATTTTGACCTGTCTGTTACAAAATACAGGAAGCCATACCTTTATTACCACCGTTGGGGAACAGCTCATTGCAGCTCTCTTTCTAGATAGTCCTAGAAACCCAAGTTGAACCATATTCCTCTGTTTTCCAAATCCTTTAAGTACAAGGAACATCCCTGATTTGAATCAATTTTATGATCTGAGTGTATGGATATTTTGCGTTGGAAAAACTTATTACGTATCTTTCCAAAAAGCAAACAGTTTTCGGTGGCATCATACTACCTAAGAAATGCCAAACAACGCCAAAATGTAGCTGTGATACATTCCACTCCACTGCGACTTTAAATCGGCTGTGGTTGTCATGTGATTTGTTGATGTGTATATTCAAAATCGTTTTAGTAAAACGTACTCAATTTCATGTATATGACTGGTCAATAGTTTTTCAGGCTTTTAACTAACCTCATTAAAACTCGCTTCATTTCAACAATGAAGAAGATACACTCATTTGAAAAAAGTGCCAACATATTTATCCCTGTTTGTTAAGCACAAATCTAAACACGATTTTTGGCGTTATAAGCCCTCAGACTTACCAATGAGCCATCGGCATGCTAGCTATCTCTAATATTCTTGTTGACAGCAGGATCCAGTTGTTGGGAAACAGTAGCAGCTTGTTACTCGTTAAATATTTATTACTCCAACAAACAATGAATTTCGAATTAATCATGAAATCCAAAAGACGGCTTCAAGAAAGAAGTCAAAAATCCATGGAAATAAATATTTAATCTGAAGCGAGACAATTTATTTATTTTATTGTTTCTGTTTGGTAATCTATAAGGATAAAAATAATGTCTACTCTGTAGGTTTGTTTGCAATAAAGAAACAATTCGGTTATGCCTCTTCTGAAAGATTACAGCAAAATAGGTTATTGTTTTTCTCATTCTCAAAATACATCGAATAACTGAAATATTAATTTTGGACTTCATATTGTTTTTGTTTAAAAGTATAATCCTGTAGATAATAAAATAAGAATATTCGCTAGATAAAAGAATCAGAATATTTTCCACTAAACGCGATAATTTGAACGTCATGAACAATAAGATGTTAACAGTCGTTTTAAATATTTCAGAGTTTAGTGACTTAATAATAAAGTTGAACGAATGTACTGCAGTTTCTGACTGTAGGCTGGTTAACATCCATTCACAATTATAATTTGTTATATCGCAGGATTGCTAAGACGTGAAGAAGCTGTTGCTTCTATCGTTGCTCAAGCATTTTTATTTATCGAAATCCTTGTGAAATGATCTAAAATGTGGAGTAATGTTTATACGTGTGGTATCAAATCCATTGCTTCCATTACAAGGAAATTGATAATATTGTCATATAAGAGACGGAAGAAATGTCGCATCATTACGTTTTGTTTCAAAAAAAAGGTCGATGAGGTAATCTTAGCAGTTTTCTGTATTGCGTAAGAGAATTCAAAGTTTGTTTATGTTTTTAATGCAAAGCTGTACAATGGGCTATTTCCGCTTTGTACACAACAAGAAATCGAACCCTGGATTTTAGCATTGTACATCCGTAAATTTCATATTGACCCGCCAGGGGGACAGAGTTATTGGGTTATTATAGTACGAGGTTTTTAAATTCTTCGTGAACTAAGAAGAAGCCTAAAAAACACACATTTAAATGTTCCATTGATGTGGATAGCCATAAGACGAATGAAACTGACCAAATACTACAAACAGGCTGTTGCAAATTTGTTACAAGTATCTCAAAATGCTATTCGTAGAGTTAGGAACTACATTCAAACCAATTTCACGTCAAGAGTGGAAATATGTTTACTACCCATTTAAAGTACACACCAGAAATGATCCTTTGATTATGAAATATACCAAAGAACAATGGTACACCACACAAGCAAGTTACCACTATCTGTCGTTGCAGGCTCGCTGCAATTCTAAAGGACCTGCGTCACGACTGAACCAAATGTCTACAACCGCAACAGGACGCTGTGTTAATATATATAAACAGAGAAAAAAAAGAGATTCAGTGAGGGAAGGGGGGGGGGTATTATGCTCATAGCAAGATACAAAACAGCTTGCTTTCAATGGTGCCAGTTGGTTATAGGAATATATTAGAGGTTTATTTACCTGCAAAATTAATATTCATTCTGAATTTGTAATTAATTCAGAAAATATGTCAGTTTTGATATCAAGTACGTGGTTAAAAAAACATTCAAATTTCTCGGTGCTAGCATTGCCTTAAAGCTTTGTCTGTCTCTACCATATCAGATAACAAAGACTTCGCCCGCAAAAATGCCGTATTGTCCTTCTACTGACCTATTGGGTGAGGTCTGTAAATTCCAGTCGACTGATCTTGTGAGAAAGTTACCAGTTACGTGCTAATGCAATCACAAGACAAAGAAACCGAGTTTTCGTGAGAGTTACAGATCTCGTTTTTAGTTCAGTTCTACACTGAGTGGTCACAAGTAAATAGACAC